GGCAAGAACTAATTAAAAAATTAAAGTTTCTCTCTCCAATAAATTAGAAATCAAACAATATAATCAATTAATAATTATAATTAAAAAAATTAAAAGTCAAATAATTAATAATTACAATAATTAATAATTATAAAAAAAAATGACTCAAAATAAATTGAAAGTCTATTGTTAAGAAAGATGTTAAAACATTAAAATTATATATACTTTGAATTAGTAAAAGAAAAGAATATGAGTTTATGTGATAAATTATGATATAATTGACAATTAACTTTAAATTTACTTTTTTTACCAAATATTTAACATATATTTTTTATTTTATACTTTCATTAGCTTTTAAATTTGCCCTCTTCTTTATTTTTTACCAAATTATGGTACAATAGTTAACCTATATATCCTACACTACTTTTTTAATTTTATATGTTAGTTAGCACTGACACTTTTTTTTTTTTTGGATGGCACTGATACCTTTAACAATTGCAGTGGGCTCCTCTTGTTGAATTTTTCTATCGAAGGGTTCCATAAATCTTGCTTGTCGTCCACGCTTAGACATCTTTAACAGAAGCAGTGGGCTCCTCTTGTAGAATTTCTCCATCAAAAGGCGCGCCCATGCTTCTCCTGGGTCATTGTACAGCAATGTGTGTGGTAATTAGCCCTCAAGTCACCTTTAACGATAGCCGTGGGCTCGTCTTGTAGATTTTTTCTCTCCAAAGGCACCATTAGTCTTGGTCGTCGTCCATGATCATTGTGCTGGTGCTTCTTCTGCGTCGTTGCATACCAATTTATGTGCGGCAATTTTGAGATGCTTTCATAAGGTAAGTTGGATGTTCATACGCGGTTTCAAAAGGCGACAAGGACTTAATTTTTCATCCGGTTATAACTTCTAATATATATATATATATAAAAGGGGTTAGTACCTACCTTATTTTTAAAAAATTAAGAAAAAAAAAATAAAAATCATCTTAATGCATATTTTAAAAATATGATAATTTAATTTTTTTTAATAAAAATTTATTGAAACGACGTAGTTTTTGGATGATTTTCCTCTTAATCTTTA